GGTGTTCTTTTTGAGAGAGATTTAAAAGCAAGCAGCTGCTTCTCTGACAATTCCATATCGAGGCAGGCAGGAGAAATGGATTACAAATCTGCAAGGAAGAGTGTTAGATAAACTATTTGCAGACTGAAGAATTTACAACGATAAAACTGATAGCCATGCTTGAGAGCTTCTAATTTTAAACAAGTAGTGTTTACTTATTCAGACTAGACGGATTTTACAAGTCAGCAGTAGCTACACGAAAGAAGAGTAACAGTAATTGATAATTTGTTACAGGCTTTGAGATGAAGCATCTGAATTATTCCATTTATCTTTTTTTTGTCTTTCTGTTGCATTTTCCACAGCGTCTTTAGCAAATAATTTTCAGACGAGATGTGAACTTGCATCTCATACTAGAAGAACTTGCTTTGTCAAATATAAACATTTATATAATCTTGGTTAGTTTTATCGGAGATCTGTCTATGAACTACAGACATTTAATATGCTTAAAAAGGACATGCATAACGGATTTTAATATCTGTCTATATTTCTGAGATGAGGTATTATGTACACTATTTACGTTATTCGCTGTCCTCATTTTTGTCGCCATATTTATTACAACGTTTCGGTCATTGTATGCTCTTCAGGTAGTTGGAATGACGAACTGAACCCTTTATTTCGCTCACTGGGGTAGACCGTTCTAGTTCCACGTGCTATGTTTAATGGATGTCAGTTATTAGTTATCTCCTGTTAATTCCCCTCTTCAAGTTCTCCACCAGGTATTGAACTCACACTCTTTGGGTCCTGTCACTGGATCTAACTAACGCCTTTATCCACTGTGCCATGTGTCCTTGAGGACATCTGTGTATGAATTTCTGGGTATTATACATCTAATGTCTTCAGCAACCAATGCTCATATTGCATTTTTTTGCTGTTATCATTGCATGTTTTTACCAGAGCACATATGGCAATTTTTGTTGTTATTATTGCTTTTCTCTGGCACTCCTTATTACTGGTTCCCATATTGTGTTATTTTCTATGCTTGGTTGGCTCAGGAGATTTATGTCGCCTAGCATATGTGCTGATTCTTTAAGTTTACGAATTTTCCTATAAACTTCTGGGTATTATAAACCTAATGTCTAATATGGCGACAAAGATGAGGACAATAGTCCGAATAATGTAAATAGCGGATTTTAATGTTCCCCATATTTTTCGTATTACTGCCTTCATCTTTTCCAAGGAAGCATGCTGCATTTGATAGGTTCCGTGAACCTTGTAGATCTCAAAGAAAGAAACTATTCTACATCAGATCTCACAGACTCGCGCTCCAGAATTCCAAACAAAGAACTTTACCAAATGACAAAAACTATATCACATGAAGACTTCCAATAGCAGCAACTACTAAAATGGCTGGAACTTGTAACTAGAAGAGAAAACAATTATATAATCAAGATATTGACTTTTCACACGAATGTTAAGGAGTTTTGAATTTAGAGCTATCCCCCCCACCAGTTTCCAATTAGAGTTAAAGAGTTCCGTTTACCCTACTATTTCACCCATAACCGGAAGATTCATAGGTAGATTTATACCTTCACCAAGTGTATTAGTGTTAAATGAATAATACCCACTTGGGCATAACCTTAAGACACCGATACAGGTGGGAAATATCTACTTCAAGCGAGAAACCGGTCCCTATAAAATGCTTACAAGACGTGGTACAGAGCTACAATTGCGAGTCAGATCATGAGATCCAAATTTGCTATACAAAGCAAAATCGCATGACCCGCTTAGGCTACAAACCATAGCTATGTGTGAGGCCTCATGAAAATAAAACGACAATAAAACCATCTCAAGAGTGGGTAAAACCTGCCTGCCTTCAGCATTCAACAACGTTAGTACAACGTTTCAGCCGATCAATTCTTCAACCTTCGTCAATTTGTCGTCAGTTTGTGTTTTGTTAGGCATTGTTAAATTTTAGGCGCGAAATCTTTTGTTAATTATACAATTCTGTATTGTTTCATATCAATTTTCTCGTTATAGTTGCTTGCTAGGTCATTGTCACTTTGGGCTGAAAAGAATGGTTGCAGATTTTATAAGTATACCTCCTTCTGTCAAACCGAAGTCTGATTGCACACAACAAAAAATTTCTTTAATATCAACTGCCAAATAATCACCTCGCTATGCTAACAAGCAATTTCTATAAACCGTTACAATTCTTGGGAGTTCAATCCTAGGTGTCCTTTAATTGTGTTCAATTATATTCGCATTCGAATATTGCTTAGGAAACTTGTCTCATAGACCATTTCAGCTGCAATGACTGCGATCCTCTTTGGGTGTCTCACAAGCCAAGTGAATATAATGAATAATTGCAAACTTTCAGCCTTGTTTTCAAATTAGAGTCTATCAAACTATTTACAGAAGGCGGGATTTCTTTTGTATTTGGAGGAAGGTGCTCTATCAAATGCCCTCATTTCATTTTTCAAGAGTCGATTCAATTATTGGATGCTTGTCCGTCCGTCGAATCGTAGTCTCCAAGTGGCGCTCCGCTCTCATCGATGCAGCAATTCTGACTTGTTGAAGCGCCAACATTTGAAAATAATCCGTTTAATTAGGGATTTAATTAATGAAAATCGCAAATTGTTTTATCCTTGACAGAAGCAACCGGGAAAGTCATACAGAATTGATCGAAGCCCACGCTTTTCATTTTTTTCTATCTGTACTTCCAACCGAACCTCTGCTTTAAGTCGACACAACTGTGAAATGGCGACAGAGATTCAAGAACAGAATGCGCATGCGTACCTGGCACTCTTTCGGTGTATGATCGTGTAGTAATAACTAACACGTGTATTTTAGTCTTCTTTAACGTTGCGCTGAAGACTGAAAGATCTAATTTCAGATCGTTCCTGAAAGTTATTACCTTACTTTCAAATAATGTACTCCTATAACATTTACGAGTGTTGACATTTCAGACATTTTTTTTGTTTATTTCACACCTATTAACACAGGGCTAATATTATCCGCAGAATATATTAAAAAAATGAAAGAACGAAAATAATTTCAAAATAATCATAGATTTTACTTTACTTTTTTAAATTGTAAGTCCCGTAGACTCATCTGTGAAGTAAAGAGCTACAACCGCACTACGCTCAACGTTGCTGCAGTTGTTTCGGTAGCAAGTAGATTTTTTATGAAGTCGAATTGCTAGCCCTAAGCCCAGCCGGTTTTGAATTCAGAGTTGTCCTTATAGAGTGGTCGCCAACTAAAATTAAGGATCCCAGTCTGCGTTTGTGTTAACCCCAGGCAGTTTATGAATCAGATCATTATTCCATGATATCTTTATCAGCTCATTAATCCGAACATTTTTATCGCTCTATGCTTTTTTTCTCTTTTAAATAAAAATTGGTTTGAGAAATGAATAAAAAAAACCCCCAAAAAACCGAGATTTGTATTGAAATGTGATTGGAATGTTACCTTTGGTATTGAGTCACGAAAAACTCCACCAATCAAGAGGAAACCGAACGGAATCAATCCCGTCAGCAGTGCTAGAGGTTTGGCAGTTAACAGCAGGAACCTGTCGATTAAGGACGTAAAAAAAAAAATATATATATATTTAACATTTTCTGCCACCATGAAATAAGTAGCTATCCTTTATCTGTCTAGAAGTTGGACGGAACAGCTTTACACTTAGTTGACATTTTTTTATTGTTTTTACCCAATATAAGGCCCAAGAGCCACTCAATGTAGAGGGTTACTGTAGGTTAAACGGATCAGTATACACCTGATGAAAGTCGGAGGGCACAAAGGTCAAAACATTGTGATAATAACAACGAAGATAAGGACAATGGTCCACATGTAAATAGTGTAAATAATGATAAACCCTCATCCCAGAAATTTAGTGAGAATTTAGAGAGAAATCATATTTATATATCTAACTAGATGACCACATACTTTTTATACTAATATTCACCCAATATAAGGCCCAAGAGCCACTCAAGGCAGAGGACTACTGAATGAAATTGTTGTAGGTGCGTAAAGGGAAGAGGAGGAAGAGGTGTATATTATGAGGATATGTAGGATAGATAACGGTTGACCTCCTTGATTTAACATTTCAGGAGTCAGGAGAAGCATCTTTTAGGAAGTCTGGGGGAGAAACTGATTGGAACTTCATCCTTACAAAAGGAATACGAAGAGAATGAGAATGATTTGGGGCCGTTACACGTCATGACGGGTCCTAGCTGTGAAATTCTGGACTGGTGGAACTATGGAATGAAATCCGTCTGGACATTTGTCACGGTAATGATAACGAGAGGCGAGTAACATTTCGTCTATGGGGAAGGGATTGTAGGAGGGAAAATAATTCATCACCCACAAGGACGCGTATTTGCTTTTGAACTCTGCCGAGACTGGATAGTGAGGACGGAGAAGCCCCAGCCCAGATATGGCATCAATGCACCATTTTGATCTGGTCTGATCTGACTGTATAGATAGTGCATGACAGTAGGTATTAAGTACTTTCTTGGAGGAAATCGATAGTTCTTCCAGCATCATTAAAAATGGTACGAATTCCTTTAAGGTTTGAAGTGAGATTTAGTCCCAAGAGTCGCTCGAGGTAAGAAGTTTCATTGAGCAAAATTTGATTCGTAGAATTGTATGTTTCCATTGTTCTTTGATGTTAGCGTTTGTTTCCTTTGCTCTGGTAACTGGCAGTTTCGCGCCCTTAAGTGATTATTAGAATATTTGATGCGTTGTCCTTCGCCTTTTCTAGTTTCAGGTTTAGAAATCTGACAAATATAACACGGATATAAGAATGAATCTTTCTTCGTCGCTTTTTGTTTGTAGAAAGAAATACAGTTTGAAAAAGGAATATCCACATGTTTTATTATTTTTGTAACGTTTTTACATCGTGGGTGAAAAAATTGTTGTTCAATGAAGAAAAAACAGTCTCCTTAGCAGATTTGTACAGTACAATGTCTTATTTAAAGACTTCCTTTCAAATTATGACTACTGTAGTAGCAAGCTTCTTATCACAAGGATGTGACGAGAGTGTGAGAGAGAGAGAGAGAGAGAGAGAGAGAGAGAGAGAGAGAGAGAGGGGAGGGGTCCAGATGGTGGAAGAAAAAAAAGGAGGCTGGTCGACTGAAATAAAAAGTGACAGGAAGAGGAGGACAGAGATAGATTGATATGAGCAGAGTGAAATAGATAGATAGATATGAACACAATGAAATAGATAGATTGATAGATATGAACAGAATGATAGATATGAACAGAGTGAAATAGATATGAACAGAATGAAATATATAGATAGATATAAACAGAGTGAAATAGATAGATAGATAGATAGAGAATGAAAGAGGGAGGAAAAGAGTAATATAAAAAGGATGGAAATAATAGAAAGAAAGAATTATATACATAGAGAGAGAAATAAAGAAAAAACAGAGAGAGAGAGAGAGAGAGAGAGAGAGAGGGGGGAATAAAGAAGAAATACGGAAACTGGAGAGATAGAAAGAGTGAGAACGAAATAAAAAAAAGACAACTTGGAGAAGAAAGAGAAAAGAGAAAGTAAATTCTGATTGAGAAGAAATTGAAAAAAAAGAAAGAACAAAAGAATGAAATGGGAAAAAGAAGAGAGGATTAAGGACTTTAAGAAAAAAGAAATAAAGAAAGAAAAACAGAGTAAGAATGATGGAATGGAGGATTCCATCCCTCCACAATCTTCGACCTGCTTTCGGAAAATGCTTCCATTTATTAAACATTTCCTGAATAGAAATCCACAGACAAAAATGTAAATATAAATCGTAGCAAAGCATTTTTCTAAGTAGGTTTCTTTTCTATTATTTGCATCTGTCTTCAATTCGAATACATTTATTTCGAAATTCTTATCGCTGTTCGTATTCTTCCGGGGTATTATATAATCACTTACATCAATCATTCTTTCTCTTAGAAAGTTCTACTTCAACAAATATACATAATCCTTATTTTATGAAAATTGACGCTAGGCAAATCGAAAGATAGTGTTATATAAAAATTGCAAATCTTAGTCGAAGTTTTTGCATTTATTTAAAGTTAAAATAACAAAAATAAGTGACAAACTGGCTATTGTAGAATATTGTTGATAAAAAGAACAAACGTAACATAAGACCTAAAAATTTCGAAAAAAAGGAGGGCCAGTCACTTCTACTCTAACATTGCAAGTCGATTTATTCGATAATGAATGCACTTTCACCAAAACTTCAATATTTACCAATTTCATTCACGCTATTGTCACTGGAATATTATTATTTATCTATGAAATCGTAACTAGTCCAATAGTTACAATTTTGACTGGAGTTGGGAGTTATGGTAATAACCACATTTGAAATATCTAAAATAACTTTTTAGCAGTTTTTCAAATGAATATTTATATATTATTGTTTTTGTTAATTATTACTATTTTCTAGAAATAAATTTTATTTTACAATCAAGTTCCCTGACGAGTGAAACTAATGTCTGCGAAAGTTCGAGTGAACACACACACATATATATATATATATATATATATATATATATATATAGAGGGTGAAATGGATAAATTGTCGTCTAAATTACGCGAAAATGAAAATAACACTGACATCTCATTTTAACAGATATATTTATCAAAATTATGCATAAATATATTGAAATACTAAAGAGTCAATTTATTCAATAAAATCGCCATTAGCTTCAGCCACGGACTCCAGACAACTTCAGAATTTCCTGCAACTCTCCTGGACGGTCTCATTGTTTAAGTTGATGAACGCTGCCATAATCCTTGTTTTCAGTTTATCTTTGGTGTTACAAGGAGTTTTGGGGTCTCTCACTCAACGTGCAACCCACATAATAATCAAAGGGTTTGGGGAGTGGGGTGGCTAGATTTAAGGGGTGATGTGGTCGCAGAAATTGTCTGACAGCCATGACTGGGTTTCCCTGCTTGTGTGGCATGGTGCAGAGTCCTGTTGCCAGACATTAAGGTCTTCTAGCCTTTTGACACAGGGAAGCACTACCTCCTCAACACACTTGATGTAGGACTCCGTGTTGAACCTGAGGCCCTGTGGGAAAATGAATGGAAGCATAATGTTGCCATTACTAATGATCGCTCCAAACACGTTCGTAATCACCATTCGACTCATCCAACTCTTCTAAGTCCTCTGTACTGTCCAAACATCCTAAATTTTCCTCACACGCATTTATATTGCATGTCTGACCAATGAAAACTTCCCCAAAATACATAACGTTCCGGTACTCTTTTTCATTTCTACTTACGATCTCTGACAAAGCCTTAGTGAAGGTGAAACATGTGTTACGAGGCCCCATTTTGCCCCACCTATTTACACTTACACTATAAAATACAAAATCTAACTTAAAATGATGACTTAAATCTGTAGCTACTAGATGCCCTTTTTACCTTACGAAAAGCTCCCATTCACTAAACCTCTTAGATTTCGTAATAATAGAATGGAACTTTCTAGAAGTCTCTAGAAACTTCTACTGGGTTCTAGAGGGTACAAAAAAAGATATAGAAAAAGAGTTCGTACCAACTAGCCAGTTACCTCCTGGACCCACAGCCACGACTATTGAGGTCGACTCCGGTCCTTTTGATTCAATAACAAAGCTTCGACCGAAAGAATCTAAATTCTTACAGTTCTGGAAAGAAAAGACTATCGGTAAATACTTCACCGTTTTTCCTTGATATTATTGACGAAACTATTTTTAAGAAGAAAATAATTCTTTGCCTAGCGACGAATTCCTATCCGTCGCCTTAATCTTAACTACAGTGGATTTCCTCTCCGCCTCCCGTGTATAGTTTTTACACGTTAAACCAACTACTTTCTGGGCTCTCGCACGCTTAGTAACTTGTTAGCATTTCCTAACTTATATTGTTTTAAACCTCATCCCTATATATATATTGTATTATATGTAAAATAAAATCTGCAATCTTTTTTCTTCAAGCTTAATTTCTACGAATCTGGTTCTTCTTATTTTGTGTTGCGCCAGCCGTAACACATGTTAGATTGAGATTCTTTTTCTAATTTGTTCTTTATTTCATTTTATTATATATATATATATATATATATATATATATATATATATATATATAGTAAAAAATAAAAATAAAAATTACCAGAAATACATTTTTGTAAAAGAAATTAAAGATACTCCCAAGAAAATTAAATTTTGGCAATAAATGACCCATAAGGTGTTGATATGCCGCTAAACAAACAAAAACAATTTCATTTTTCGGAATTACAACTGCTCCACAGAAAAGCTCCACCCTCTGAGCTTAATTTTCTATTTAGCGTAGATCTGACATTTAATTGGTTGATCAAGACAAACCCAAAAGTCTATTTTTGATTCAGACCTTGTGTTTTCTTAACCACCACTATCTTTTGGAAAAGAGGTAACATTTTGCTTCTTATTAAATTATTTAATCAGCCGTCACTTACCATTCGCCTGAAATGGTACAACGTAGTACCGAAACATGAAAGCTATTGTGTAAGCGATTTCAACATGTTTTTGTTTTTACATACATATATATATATATATATATATATATATATATATATATATATATATATAAGGATATTACATCGAAAACACGTCAATTTTGATATGTTTTCAATATAATATCCTAAGATAAATAATATTGCTCTACATTGTATTGAGCCCTCTTCTAAATTAAATGTTACGAACGTTGGTATTGTACTCCTTTGTTCTCATCTTACCTGGATATATATATATTAAGATATTTTTATATTTATACATTCTTTTTTTATAGATGCAAATATTTAAGTAAATGCTCTGTTTATAATAAACAGTATTAAACAACATTTACCGGCCTGAACGTCCGAGAAATTGTCATAGAAAATATTCGTCCTCCGACAGGAATCGAACCTGTATCCTATACGGAAACGTCACATAGCCTGACGTGCCTTTAACCGATTTCGCCACAGAGGAGCGTTTCGGTTAGCAAAATATAAACATAAAATATCTTAAAATAATTGTCCGACTTTGTCCATTTCATAATATATATATATATATATATAATATATATATATATATATATATATATATATATATATATATATATGTATGTATGTATGTGTGTGTGTGTGTGTGTGTATATATGTGTGTGTGTGTGTGTAAGGCAAAAGAAGAAATTGCTATTAATTGATATGAATATACTTTAAGTATTCCCAGATCCAAAACATATTTTTTACATTTTCATTATGATTTACAGACTCTTTTTACTAGTTACAAAAAAAAGGTAGGATATTATAAGAGGCAAATCAGTGAAGTCATATTTTAAAAGATTTCACCTCAGCCATAGCAGATGGCGAAACTCGAAGCAGGCGGACACAGAAGATTATTTTGCCAGCTTGGGAACACTCCAAAAAAATTCCTATATAGATTAACGGTAATTGCTTCTTCGTTTTATGCCATTTCGGATAGCAGGGAAAATATTTACTTATACAGGACTTTCGTAAGAGCGAATTGGCGTAAAGCAAAGTTCTATAAAGATCGAGAGACCTGTATATGTCACGTGCCTCCAAGCTGTTGTAGCTGATTGCATGAGATTTTGTCATATGTATGCTTAGGTAGAAAGTATTTTTGAGTGGGTGACTCATTGCTATCACATTCATTATCCAAACATCATCGTTATTCTAATAGAAATGGCGGGTGGGAGAAGTGGAAACAATTTCCATTTTAAGCTTAAAAAATAAGGGATATTCATTGTGAAAATCCATTAGCGCTGAGATTTTATCTAAGATTTTGAGACGTGGTGTTAATATTCATTTTTCAAAAAATTATTCGCACTTTTATTATTTTCTTTTTGATTTAATCAGGGTTCGATTGGGGGAAACTCAGAATTTGACAACACTCCCACACAAGGCGAAACCAAAAAAGTAAAGAAAAAGAAAAAAGAAAAAGAAAACCACACACAAAAGACATCACTCCAAATATGGCGACAGGCATGACTAACATACGTTGCATCTCTAATACTTACTCGTGTTGGAATACATCAAAAACCGAGATGGACCCACTGCACATTCACGAAAGATGAAAATAAATGCAATGTCGAGAAATGAGAACTCCAACCCGGTTTCTAATGTATTTAGACATTTTGTTCAGGGTTTCGCTTCCTTGGTCTTCCTTAGGTGACACCTGGTGCAATTTCTGCCATGTTGGAGTAACAGTCCGTCTCTTTGCTTCAACTCTTCCTCCTATCTCTCTGCCTATTTCATAATTCCTACGCGTGGCTGGCAACACGAACGGGCGGTATCAGAACTACTCGTTGGATAGTCTGTTCTTCCCCAAGGGCGAATCATAACTGATAACTTCCATCCCAACTGTGACAGTTAATATAGACCAGCAACTGGGAATCATCAATATCCCGTTTGTTGTCGCTTGACCTCAAGACCCCTGATCCACTCATTCCCTTTCGGTCACCTTGAAGACCATATCTCATAGATTTTGTTGCTGGTCATTAAACACGAAACACTCTAGATGAAGTTAAAAATCACATACCCCTCTCTTCTATGTGGGTATCCCAATAATAGTGTCAAAAGGTTGACATTGACAAATACTAAAACTGTCAGTCAGTTATGTGCAATACGTGATACATGCTTAGTCAATCATGTATCTTTCGATACATGACTGACGAGGCTGTTTTTTCCCGCAGTAGATTGCCATTTCTTTCTGCGGTAGCTCAGTTGCCATTCAACGCTATAGAACCCGA